GAGACGTCAACTTCGTTTAGCTTTCCTCAACTCACAAAGGATCTCAAAATGACCACAATGAGAGAAACAAGATTCACAGCTGCACTGAAACCACCAATGTCACACACACACACACACACACACACACACACACACACACACACACACACACACACATCAACAAATAGGAGATGAACGGGGCAAGACGAGACCTCAGCTACAGCATCGCCTACATGTCCACCTGTTAAGAGCGATGAATAGGTGATTTAAAAGAATTAGGACAACATAAAGGCCCCCTCTGAGTCAATAGAGAGACAATAACATAACACAATTTGCATAGAGAAATCACCGCTGTCCAACCAAACCACGTAATTTGTGAACTTGGTGATTTTGCATTTTGATTTTTGGGGAATAATTGTTTTTTTTCTAAGGAAAAAACGTATTTAGAACCCTGATGGATCCTCTGAATTCGTCCCAATGTTCGTACATGGGAACGAAAAATGAAGTTGCAACTGATAAAGTGTCTACGATGTTAAACATCATCAACAGCAGCACGCATTCAACTTCAAATGACAATTGTGATGCGACATTCTCACACAGGACAGAACATTTTGCAAACAGACTCGTTGTGAATCTCTGCATGAAGGCCTGAAAGGGACACGCGCGGGGGCCAGGAGGTAAATACGGAACACGTAACCCGGATCTCCAGGGTCCAAACTCCACCGAGGCGTCTTTACGCGTGAACTCGGAGGGGAGCAGTTGGTTCCGGGAGACCCGAGTTGACGGGTCGGCTCGAGCGGCCGCCGGGTGGCGCTGTAGGGTCGGGCAAAGCGGAGAGGAGCGAGGCGCCGTGCGCCGTCACCCGGGAAGCCGCGGTTCTCTGTGGGATAATCGTGAAATCATGGAGGGATTATTGTTTGAATCATCTCGATGGCGATGATTATACACGACGCGAACAAACGGGCTCGGGGTGCTTTTGTTCTGGAGATCCGACTTGTTTAAAGCTTCCTTCTTCTCTGTCACGGACTGCAACAAATGGAAAGAACTAAACGGAAATCCTGCGGGATTTTTTTTTTTTTTTTCTGCTGAGAAGCTTTTCAGAAAGCAGCAAACGATGCAGACGTCGATCACACTTAACACGCATGTATCCGATAAATCAGAGCTGCTTTATTATCGCTGCTACTTTCCCTCACAGAGCAATTCCAACCCCATCGAGATGCATCACACGCTGCTGACAAAATACCCGCGGACTAATAATTCCGCGTGATTTATTTATTATCGCGTTAGTTGCGTGGAGGACGCGGGTTCGGGACCGACCTGCGGGGACACGACCGGGACGGTTCCTCAGGTCACAGAAACCGGGCTCATCGGGCCTAAATGTGGGAAAACTAAAACAAAAGGAATTCCGAAAGATGCTGATAAGGTGCAAAATAATAGTCTAATAGAAAACCAAAGTCAGCAAGTTCCATAAAGGAAGATATATATTGATATTTAGATACAGTTAGTATGTAATAATGTGCTGTTTATATAATTTAAAGTTGGCTAAAATTCACTTATTGTATAATTTCCATTGATATTTATATACATTTAGTAAGTAATAATGTGCTGTAGTTTATGTAATTTAAAGTTTACTAAAATGCACTTATTGTATAATGTAACAAAACACATAAGGCAATGAGAATATTAAGAATAGTATTGGGGTTATAACGGTACAAACTAACAAACTAAAAATAATCAGGTTAATCAAAAAAAGAACATAATTAAAACAATTATACATGTGATATGTGTATATATATATATATGTATATATATATATATATATATATATATATATATATATATATATATATATATATATAATACAGTTTCAGGGTGTATTACCTTGGTAATTTATATAAAAGACTTAGCTTAATAAATGCGTAGATTAAATTAAAAAACACATATATGACGTATGTTGTTGAATTGAGGGCGTTTAAGCTCGCCTTGTGACTTAAGGAAGAGAGATGGGAGATGAGCTGCAGACTCCAAATCCCCCCCCTCTACCTGCATCCATCCATCCTGCTCACGAAACCATGACCTTCACATTTACACAGAGGAACCCCCGAGAGTCACGTCATCTTCCAACACGTCCTCCTCCTCTTCTTCATCTGCTGCCACTGAAACCACTTGATACGCCACATTAACATGTTGGCCTATAAGAATTCTTTGTCCAGGTTTAGAGTTGATTTTATTTTTATCTTCTGAAAGAAGAGAAGAGTTGTGACGTCAATTGCATTTCATTCTGTCTTCTATTCATAAACGAACCTGATAATATTCACCGAGAATAAACGCTATATTATATATACAAATATGTATTTATTTTTATGAATACATATTTATTTGTTTGCATGAATATATATGTAAATATGTTTTGAATATACATATATATATAACTGAATTTGAAAAATAGCAACTACAATCAAACTAAACGCGCCAATTGCTCCGCCGATTGTAGCGTTACTTTGGGATCCAAATAACATGAAATAATAACAAGAATCATCATTATTATTGTCATTAAAAATAACAATTATTATAGTTGTTAGTTACAATAACGATGGTAATAATAAAGTGAATTAGATTTTGCATATACCCACATTGGTGGCATGACAACAGCAGAGAAAATAAATACTTATTATTAACAGTAATAATAATAATGACCAAAAAGCAGACAGAAGGATGTTTTCTGAGCGTCTTTTCTGCAGCAAAGATAAATCCGCGTGGACGTGGAAGAGAGAGGCTCCCTGTGGAGAACAGCTCAGACTAATCCATATTCATGCTCCCGACACGTGGAGTAAATACAGTATGAGAAGAGGGGGGGTGAACATGCATATTTCCACCAGGTTAGAACGACACCGACCTTGACTAGTTATTATTCTTTAAGTGACACAGTGGAACTACATCCCACGTGTAGGAGCACTTACAACCCGCGTGTGTGATACTGAGGTGTATATAACACACGTCATGCTGAATAAAACACATTATCTAAAAAGCCATAAGAATAAATACATGTGTACATTTGCACAATCAGAATGAACTAAAAAATATATGTTAAATAGACAAACTCTAACGGTGAAGCCTTGTTTGTTTTAACATTTAAAAACATATCGACATGTGCAATTCCATTATTTAAATACAGGCCCACGGATATTATGGACCAACGTAATCACATGTGTTTTATTTGTATTATTATTTATTATATAAAACATTAGATATTATTCTCCATGGTTACAACGTGTCAGTGCTGTTGACATGTTGTAACTAATACGCAGGAATACGAGTGCGATGTTGTGAAGTCTTGTTCTGCAGTGACAACGAGAAGCTTTAATCCTAAATCAATAACAGGGCAAGCAAAGTGCTCCTCGGGCCTCAACGTATATGGCGCGCGCGCACACACACACACACACACACGCGCGCGCGCGCGCACGGTGGAGGACCCGTGAAAGCTGCTGCAGAAACACGATCGGAAACACGATTGGGGATATTTCTGCAGGAGGCGCGTGTCCGCGGCGCAGGAACCCGGAGTGCTCCTCTCGTGCGCGTCGGGCCGCGTCGCCGGCTCAAGTCACGTGACTCCGCATTGGGTTTCACAGAGGAGCCGCGTGCACGACGAGCACCGAGGCCACAGTGGAGCCTCCCCGTGCACATGCATGCTTTTATTTTTAAAGGGCGTCTTGTTGTGAGAAGCCGGCACCAGAGACGTTTCTAAAGGAACTGAGCCTCGTGTTCATGTTGCTCAAACGTTTTCAAACGTCCCCGCAAATGAACATAAACGCGTCCGTGTTAAAACCTCGCAGGGAAATAATAAAGTTTGTGCACAGCGTGTTCACGCTGCCACTTTTTGCTAATGCAGACAAAGAAAGATGATGCCCGCTTCTCTATAGCATCGTTGCTAAGCAACTAGTGAGGGAAATCATCCGCGAAATTCAAATCCAAGCAGCGCGAGGACACGTTTCGCGAGTTCTGCTGAATAGGCGAGCAGGACAACTCGAGAAGAAGAAACAAAGTTTGGAACCCGGGAACACATTGGCCTCGTTGAGCCGTGACGAAGACAAAATGGAAATAGTCACGTTGTAAAATAAATAAACGATGACACTTAACGATGTCATTGGGAGTCAACAGCAGGTATAATCAGCCCCTGGTGGAATTCTGTCAACAACAGTCCTGAAAGAACCACGCGGGCATGAACCTGAAACCCTCTCAAACAGCACCTGAGTAACCTGGCTCAGCCAATCAAAAGGCTCCCTGGCCCACTGGCCCGCATCCCAACAGGTATCCGACTGACGCGCACACACCTGCGAGCTGTGGATGCACTTACTCAGCACCAAAGGCGACCAGCTATGAATCCATTTCCCTGACTGAAAATCAATTATTTTGCAGATTATTTACGTGGCTCTGTATTGCGCCGAGGAGCGCGTGAACCAGGCTATTAATGGCGTGTTTATCAGCATTGTGGGATTCAGGATCTGGACTTTAAGCTGCAAACGTTCCTGTTACGTAACACGCACGGCGCTCTGTACACATCAGCAGCCACAGCCAGCCGCTGGATGTGGATCTGGGCTCCATCCCCCCCAAACCCCCCCCCCCCACTGGGCACAAAGTGCTGCCCGGTGTCCAGCCTGACGAGAGGCAGCAGATGTAAACAAACAGGAGAGCCGTTGTTGTGCAGACCGCGATGCCTCGTTTAAACACAGTTATGGGACATCCATTCAAGCTCGTAACCGCGCGAGTCTTTTTTAGGTTTGGGTAAAAAATAATAAAGGTCGAGCATTTTATTTTGTCTCTGCAAGGACTTTTTTTGTTCATTTACTATTCTAACCGAGGTTATTATTAGCTCGCAGCTTCATCTGGGACACAATAGTCCACCATTTTCTTCATTAGCTGCTGCATGCAAAGAACAAATAACACAAGGTAATTCCCCTTTTGAAAAAAAGCACAAACAACCCAATATGCGAGAGGAATATAAATCTCAAAACACAGGATGATTGCATTTCATTCTAACAAATTTATTGTGTTTCAATCAGCTCGTACGGAACCACTACTGAAATTAAATTACAATCAAATTATCACATCAAAATATACCCTTATTACCTAACAACGGTCAATGTCAGCTTATGATGATTTGTGCTCCTTTAGAAACGATAATACAAAATGAAACAAACAAGGGCAACAACAGAAATATAAGAAAGAAATTAAGAGAAAAAGAGAAAAAGGCAAAGCATCTTACACAAGTTCCTTGGGGGGGAAATAAATTACTGGAATCATTCATAAGTATTCCGAATAAAATATTAAAACAAGTCATTCTGATGAAAAATATAAAGTAAATAACTCAGATCAGTATCTGATCTAGTGATCTATATCGCCGGCTTTACAGAGTGTTGTTTATTAAAACCTACCAAAGAATACTGCTTAGAAAGGGCAGCAACAATAGTGTCCACAGCACCCACTCAGTCACACTTGGCAACAGATTTATTTTCTCAAATAAGTGCAGTTGAAGTCTTTTCAAATGTCTTATGCTCTATTCGTTGGGAAAAAAAGGAGGAAAAATCCACTCACGGTTTCAAAAGTCCATTAAATAATAGCAACCCCCTCCCCCCCCCCCACAAAAAAAAGAAAGCGATCTTTGAGATCAGGCGGGGACAGTCCTGGTCCAGGTTGTCTTTTCTTTCCGGGGCTCGCGAGGGCCTCGAGGTGACAAAAAACAAAAACAAAAAAAATATCCCCTAATCCTCCACGCGCGCGCGCGTGTGTGTGTATAAGTGCAACCACGCAGCCCACCTCCGAATAAACAAACAAGCGCTGTAAATCAGGGCGGAAGCTTCGTGGATGTCACTGCGGCTCATAGTGGTGCGCGTCTCCCCACCGGGTCGCTGTGACGCTCGGAGCGGAGGGAAGGCGCTTCAGTCCCAGTTCTAAATATACAAAATGCCTGCTCCTTTGTTTCTTCAATCAAACACAGGGTAATCGGAGGGAGGATTTTTGGAGGGAGGGAGGAAGGAGGGGGGGGGGGGGGGGGGGGGGGAGGAAAAAAAAAAAAGAATAAAAACAATACTTGGTTTCCTCCTGGTGTGTCTTAATGCGCCAAAATTACCTGGTGGAATGAACTTGTAGTTGTCACCCTCTGGTCGCTCGCTTCACTTGCATCTTTTAAGTAATCTACTAAAAAATGCCCCTGAAAGAAAAAAGCAGAAGGAACCTTTTAGGTTAAGACATTTCAGGCGCATGAAAGAGATTCACGGTGTTGTCTTTTCACTCAGGCACCGGTGCTCTCATTGTGGGGGGCGGGCGGGCAAAAAAGGGAAAGGTTGCTGTGTTTTTCTCTCTCTCTCTCTTTCGGGTTTTTTTTTTTTTTCCTGGTGAAAAATAGATAAAACATTTGCAGTCTCATTCATATTCCCTCACAATCACAGTATCAAAAAAAAATCGTAGCTATCTTGGCGATAGTCTGTATTTTTCTAACCAGTTTAATTTCGTATAAAATATTCTCGTGTGCTATTTCTATGTTTCACTGAACATTCGCTTGCAGTCCATGGAGGGGGGCGGTGTTTCTGCACTCACATTGCCGACCTGAGAGTACACATCCTCCGGCGTCTGAGCCACTCCTGGGGGCGTCATCCGTTTTTCCTTCTGTCTCCTATTGCAAAACCACACTCTAACCACCTCCTTCTCCAGCTGCAAGTTGTCCGCCAGCCCGGTGATCTCCTGGGCCGAGGGTTTGGGGCATTTCAGGAAGTGGCTCTCCAAAGCCCCCTTGACGCTCACTTCGATGGAGGTGCGCTTCTTTCGCTTCCTCCCCTGCGCCGCGATCTTGTCGATGCTGGTGGGGCTGCCGGTGGTGGAGTCGGCCTCCTCGAGCCACTTGTTTAACAAAGGCTTCAGCTTGCACATGTTTTTGAAGCTGAGCTGCAGAGCCTCGAATCTGCAAATGGTGGTCTGGGAGAAAACGTTCCCGTACAGGGTGCCCAAAGCCAAGCCGACGTCCGCCTGCGTGAAGCCCAGCTTGATCCTCCGCTGCTTGAACTGCTTGGCGAACTGCTCCAGGTCGTCCGAGGTCGGCGTGTCGTCGTCCGAGTGCGGGTCGTGGCTGTTGATGCCGCCGTGGTGCTGGTGGTGCTGATGCTGCTGCTGGTGGTGGTGGTGGTGGTGGCTGCCGTGGTCCAGATCCGGGGTGTCCCCCCTCACCAAGCCCGGGTGCACCAGGCTCTGGCTCCCCGGACTCAGCATCCCGTTCACGGTGAACCCGCCCGGCTGGGAGTAGATCAGCGACTGCTGCTGCTGCTGCTGCTGCTGTCCCCCGGATATGGAGTTGATGTGAGCGGCAGTCGCGCTCCCCCAACCGCCGGCGTGTGTCTGGTGCGGGGCTAAGTGGGGCGGCCTGTGGTGCAGAGCGGTGCCCGTGTGTAGATCGTCTCTGCCGGAGTTTTTCACGTCCTGCTGCTGAGGGCTGCCCGTCATGCCGACAGGACTCGACGACCACGGCGATCCGGCTTCGGCCGCGGCCACGGCGGCTGCTGCCGCGGCCGCCGCGGCGTGCGGGAGGGATGTCACCCACTGGTGGGCATGGCTCAGCATGTGCCCCCCGTTGCTCGCTGCCATCGCGCCTTGCATAAAGTCACTCTGTACCATCTTGACCGAGGGGTCCCCCCTGTACACCCCGGAGCCCGAGGTAACCGCAGCGCTGCCCGGCTGCATTCCACCACCTCCGGAGTCAGAGTGCACGATGGAGCCGGACGATAAGATGCTATTGCTGGGCAGATAAGGATTGGAAGCCGCGGTGGCCATTCCGTCAGCCCTTATGAATATGTTTGTGGATAACCCCCCCCCTCCACCCTCCCTTTTTACAGTCACTTCTTTCGAGCAGGCGAATTGTATCTCATGAATTATTCAAACTTTAAAAGTATGAGTAGGTTTTGGGCACTACCATCGACGCGCGTAAAAACGCGGAAAAAGCTTCAAAAGCGGTGGCAGAAAACGGAATAAAATCCTCGCCGGTGTTTACTGCATTCTAGGCGAGCGCGGGTGTCGGCGCATAAAAATCCAGTTTTCCCGAAGCCCTTTGAAACCATGTGCAGTCCGCTCAGAAAGTTTCGCACCGGGGTGGTGAACTGCGAGCATTAAAATTCAAATATACAGGAAGAAAAAAAAAAAAAGCCTCGTCCCATACAAACTTTAGGTGCTCGCCAAAAACAAACAAAAAAGCCTTGCAAATTGTCCACAGCGTACAAAGTCCCGGTTTATGTCCCCTCTGGATGTGAAAAACATTAGCAGAGTGTCCTTAGTTCTTTTGTAATTCAGTCGCCGAGATTTCTCCCCCGCTTTATTCTTTCCCCTCTCTTCTTTTATACCACTGTGGAGCCTCTCTCTTTGTTCTGTTTTGATGTATATAAACCTGCCAAACCGCAAACTCCCGATGAAGTACAATCCGGTGGAACAGCGGACGGCGCTGCTCGCGAGCCTCTCCTCTCATTCGCTTGTTCTCTCTCCGCACTTCTCTCTCTCTCTCTCTCTCTCTCCCTGACAGGCCGCGTAGTCCCGCCCCCCCTGCCCCCGCCCCCTTTCCTCCGCCCTCCGCGGCGAGCCCGGCGACGCGCGGATGTTTTACCCCCGTGCGTCCCCGTTGATTGGTTACCCGGGCTGTGATTGACAGGTCTCGCCAGCCTCGCCCGGGGCGCAGGAGCCCTCCTTCCGGCGGTTCCAATTGGCTGGTTTCTAATTGCAGTCCAAACAAAACAGGGAACACAACTTGGTGGTAAATAGTACTGAGGTATTAGTACACAAACAGACACTATATAAAACGGTGACCTCTGGTTGTGACCTCTGTGATCGTCATGATTCAAACCACCATCACATTAAGCACATTAATATACTTACACTTGTTGGAAAGCATTAGGTTGAATATAATATAACGAATTAATACAATTCTATTTTTTTAATGTTATTCTACACAAACACATCTAGGACTAATAAAAAGCGCCAGTCCAAAACATACACAAGTGCATTGTATGCTATTAATAACACGTAATGAGCTGGCTGTGTGTTAGAATAAGGCGTCTATTGGTTCTAACCGGATGGTAAACGCTTCATCCTGTGATATGCACGATGCGCGTGAGTGGGTTCGAATTGGTAGATTGGCAGTTAAAAAAAAAGGATTTGGCATAATTCACAAGCTCCGGTTAAATGTTTATGAGCATATGAAAGCAAAGACATTCCGTGGAGCGTCGTGGTTGTTAACGCGGAGGGAAACCGTGACGCTGCACACAGAAACACGGAGCGGCAAAAGTGAAAACCAACGCAGGGAGGAAGTGCGCTGCAGACATGAGCCTGTGCAACGTGGGCTCCTCAAGGAACAAAGGTTACGGGGAGGCTTCCATGCGGAAACCTCAGTGAAGCACAGTGAAAGAGAAAGTGGCAACCACAACACGCGCAAATTGAGCAGCCCTGGGGGGGGGTTGCGCGTGCAGGGTGGCGGTGCTGCAAACGTTTGCTGAGCAGCAGCAGCAGAAGAAGAAGAAGCTCACGAAGAAGAAAGGAAAGAAGGAGGAGAAGGGGGGGAAACAGTCTAGAGATCACCCACACCATCCCTCCAGATGACAACATCGCCCCGGTAATGAATGAGGCCTTTGTTGGGTGCGTGGGACCCCTGCGCCTGTTTGGACGCACCCATGGGTGGTAATAAGGGCCAGCCATGAGGCTCGCGCGGCACCCATTCGTTTCGGGGGGTGTCAGCCGCCTGTTGAGCGCACCTGGACAGAACGGGGCCTGTGGCAGGTGATCCTCTGACAGGATTAACTGCGTTTTGTACAAAGGTTAGAGCTGCATGTCGCGCGTAACCCCAAACACCGGCGCGTAAGCTCTCGAATCAAAGATGACGCAAAGATTTGTATTGCAGGAGGGATTTAAGGGCAAATACACGGCAGAGGAGTACTGTGTACTCCATGCCAGTACACCCCGCCCCCCCCTCCCTCTCCTCATCCCAGTAGATTTGATTTGGACCGGGCTCAAAACCGAGGGAGCCTCGTGGATTTGTTTACATTGAATAGGCAGGCTCGGGGCCAGGACCATGGGGCCCTCTGTTCATTAATATACAGTGAGGATTTCTGTCTAAATTACTGCCGTTCAACCCGCGCCGCGCGCGTTAACGTGCGTCTCGGGCGGCCAACAGAAACGCGAGTATGCAGAGAAAAGGCTCCTCGCACTAGAAAACCCCCTTAAAATGAAAATAATACACGCTAAACATGAGAGGAGAGTGAAACGGCATTTCAGAAATGCTCACCGAAACCACCGCGCTGTGATACAAAACCCCTCTCTGATATATGATGTGTTTATTATTTATTTGCTTATTATAAAAGGTCCCCAAGTTCCCTGCTGGGGGAGTTCATTTATTTTGTATGCAAAATAAAAAAAAAAAAAAGAAAGAAAGGGGGGAGAGGAAAAAAAAAATCATCCCCAAGTATAACAAGAGACGAACAGTTAGTGCTGATTTTCATTTGCATAAATTTTCATATATTTTAGTGAAAATAATAGCGGGAGCCGAGGAGGGCTCCTGCTCAGTTGAGGCAGAGGAAAGAAAATCTTAGGGAGCACCGAGTCGTAGGGAAAGGGAGATAACCATTGACAAGCCACGGGTGCACAATGTGAAGCTATTTCCCTTTTCTTGGACACAAGGTAAGACGACGACGATCCGCGAGCAGTTCTTTTTACGCGTGCTGAACGTGAGGGTTGAACCGCGCCCGCGTCCTTGCGCACTGCTTTACCCGAGATTTCAGCCTTTTGCGACAAGCATGACTCATATTCTCGTATATTCAACCGAAAATTGCAAATGCGTCGTCCCCTTTTTTTTCTCTCCCCACGTTTACCCGGAATGCGTAAAAATCAATGCGCGCGCCGCCGTTTGCTTTTGCGCCTCTGCTTTTTATATAAATATCGGGCAGATGGAGAAGCTGCGCGATTTTGCAGTGAATGTCCGCCAAAGAAAAGTGCAATCAATCACATTTTAAGCAGAGAAAGAGAGAGAGGGAGGGAGGGAGGGGAGGGAGAGAGAGAGAGACCCCTCGGTTGAATCCTCCAGAGGGATCGCGTAGGCAAGTGCAATCTGAAATCGTTTAATATAAATCTATCTCGCGGCTGCAAAGTTTGTTTAAAGTTGATGCGCGCGAGCCTCTGGACCAAATGCTCGTAAATAGCCCGCAATGTTAATGCACGCGGACCGGATTGTTCTGCGCGTTGCTGAGTTGTTCAAGAAGCGAAATGTTAAGAAATGTCAAACCAAAACGACGGATGTGTAAACATTTAACGAGCCAGAGAGACGTGCCCACAGGCGGTTATTTATTTATTTAAGACAATAACCGTTTCAGTCACAACTTCCAGCCGCGTTTTCCACCTCTGAGGACCTATTGGCACATGAAATGGAATCTCCGCGGAGGAAGAAGTCAGTTGGTTTTCGCTGTACGCCGCTGAGGGTTGTGTGTGTGTGTGTGTTTTTTTCTCACGGGTTAACTCTCCCCGTTGACGGGGGAGTGCATTTCTGAGCCCGGCGCTCGGTAGCCATGGTGAGCCCCATAAAAGGGGGGAACACTAGTCGCATTAAGCTGTATGTTTGTGCACTGGGGTCGAGATGAAAAGGGGCTCGGTGTCCCGCGCCAGTGACGGAACGACTCCATCTGCGCCACCAAAACACCGGGATTGTGATAACGCGACCCATGTCGGGTTTATTCCAAATGTAGTGCTGCAAAACAACAAACTCTCATTTGGAACACAGCGTCAATAATTGAGGTCGTATTAAGCCTTTAGAGGCGAGCGAGTTATCGCGATGTTTTAAAACCAAACCAAAGGCAACGCGTCGCGGTGCGTAACGGAGAAGTTTTACAACGCAATACTTCCAACAAGCCGAATAGATATTATTGTTGTCGTGTTTGACAAAAGGGGATTTCAGCCAAAAATGAGGACAGTCGTTATTCACACGTACCTCGTGTCGGGGTGGAAGAGAAATAGATCTATAGGGTTATAAACACAAATAAGATGAATCGTAACTGCCGCCAGGTGTCGCGCTCTCGCCTGATGTATCTACAACTTACACTGCAAAAACATCCCCCTTATGTCACATTTATGAAAAGTTCTCATGTTTTTATATTTTTATACTTCATTTGTCGATCAGATCCCACGTTTGACAAGTGCTGTTGGCCTTAAGTGACGCAGTGACGTATTTAATCACCTTCATTGAATTCTCTTAAAAAGAAAAAAAAAATCCCGCCCGCACATTATGCATTATTCACGTTCACGTTTTTGCGTCATCGGCATCATGAGTCACGCGAACTGCTCGTATCAATCAGGACAGGCCGCCTATCAATGTCAGATATGCAAATGGCCCAGTCGCCCTCCGCAGCAGCGCACGCGTGACCCGGCGGGTCCGCGTGGAGCCGATGACCAACCGGCGGGCTTTGCGTCACTTCACGAATCATCCCCGGGAATTAGACTGCCACGTCTCGTGCGTGCTTGACCGGCCGTTTAGTGCGCGCGCGCGCGCCATCTCCACCGTTATATCCCGTCATCACCATCCCCGCCGTCCTCATCATCACCGCCAGCAGCACAGCGTCAAAGCGCCACTGCGCGTCATTGCGCCCGTTCCGTCAGGCCGCGCGGTGACGGGTAGCAGGAGGCCGCTTATTTATTCTCCAGGAGCAGATTGTCTAGTTCATCAAGACGCGTTCAAAAAAGGCCCGCGCCGATCTGAACTGAGGTAATCTGTATTTTACAGATGAGCTAATTGAAGATATACAAATCCAAGAGTGGGGGGGGGGGTAAAAATGTCCGCTTGGTGACGAGCAGAAGACAAAAACACCAGTTAGAACGAAATCAATTTACTCACAACATTAATCTCCTCTTCCTCCCTCATAAAACCGGCTCACGGTCCCATCACCTCGGTGCTGCAGCCGCCAATAATTCATGACACCTGACATGCAGATTTATGTCAGTCCTCTGAAGGTGGGCGCCTGTAGCTTCCACTTCCCCCGGTTGCAATATTCAGATTAAATTGATACCATTTCTGCCGTTTTAATTATGGCCCATTTAAGATGCCTATGGGCTATATAATTTATTTTCTCCCCCGTGGTCCAGTCACTAATCCACAACGACATACGTTGAGTGTGTCTCACGTCGGGCCAAACGTTGATTTAAAGCCAAATCCAACTTGGAGCACTTAAATGATAATGTGGCCACTATAGCGTTAATTAAATGGGCCACGCTGCGCATCAGCGTATGAGCATTAAACGTGCCTTCAATTCCAGACACGAATGGTATTTTCCCCTCGACCCGCTCAAACGAGAAGAGACTCTTTATTAATATTCTATTAGGAAAGGCCAATATAGAATTACATAGAGCGACGTGGGCTTGGTAATTGGCCTGTGGGCACGTGGCTTGTAAAGGAGCCGACGCGCAGGTAAAGATGATATGTTTAGTGTTATCATAAGACTCTCCT